TCCGGCCAGAACGTAGTTTTAGAATCACGTCTAAATACATAATGAGGAGGAGCGATATTTAACCGCGTAGTTCTACTTGCTGAGTGAGAGAGAATCAGAGTTTCTGATTAGCGCGCGTCCGCCTTTTTGGCTACTCTTTCTCAAAGCTGTTATTACGCTCGGCCGTACTCAGGGCTCTTGATAGCTTCGCAGTCATCTCGTGTTTAAGGGGCCAACCACATTAAAACTTTGATAGCTTCGGCTGTATCTCTTTAGTTTAGATTAGTTTTAGTTTACTTCTTAGCCTCTTAAGTTCAAGCCCAAATGTCGGTTTTTATTGTACACTCGAAGACGGAGTTCTTAAATCTTATTTGAACAACAAAGGGTAATTCACCCTTCCCTTTTGTTGTTTCTTGTTACACGAACTCAAGCGATTATTCGCTTATCAGTTCTTAGGATTCTTCACGTTCAACTGTAAAATTAGCATTTACAAAGTGAGGAACTCTACAAGTTTATTTATTTATTTATTTGCATATAGCCTAGAAAGAATTCAAATAAATTTATTTACGCTATCTCTTGTCTTCGAATTCGTCACAGTACCTTTCTGAGCGGCTAAGATTTATTCCTTAGAGACGATTCATAATTCATCGTTCTTTAAATTACGATTTACATATACGTTTTAAACAACAAGCAGAATCAAACAATAAAATATTGCTCTCACCTTGACTGATTGATTATTGATAATTTACTGACTAGCCAGGCGTAATATCATAACAACTTTGAAACTATTTTCCAAGTGAAGGGAAAAACTGACAATTCCACTTCTGTTAAAAAAATATATATTATGTAGAAAATCGGCCAATCAATATTTTTTTATTAATCTTGTTTCAAAAGAGGGCGAAATGTCTGTTTTGTAATCTGTGAAAATTTCAGAAGATTGTAACTGATGCACTTTTTTTATGCTCAGATTTTAAAACAATAAACGTTCAATATTCGAAAAAACTGAGAGATGTTCGTAAATTCGCTACAAATTCAGAACTTAAGTTAAACATTTCATATATATTTCATTTAAAAGATTTTTATGTGCTTTCTCCACTGGTGCAAACAATAAAGTTTTGCGGATTTGCGGACAGTTTATTCATCACACGCAGTTATGTGCGAAAAATTGTTTAACACTAAATTTTAAAAGCATCACAATAGAAATTGGAGAAGATTGCATCTTGGCATTATTTTGTCAAAAAACATGAGCAAATTAAATAAAAGATTCTAATAATAAAAAGTGATTCTTTTAGGATCAAAGAATTTTTTATAATGAGTAGTAATAAATGCACATCAAGACTCCAAAAAGAAGGAAAAAGGTAGAAAAATTGACTTGCACAATCTTTCTTAATTCTTTCACGGTTGGCGACATTTACAGGAAAGTTTCAGAATGTAAAAATTATCAGCACTTCTGCACATGCAGCAGAAACCTATCTAACAGAGGTATTAAGAGCCAGACTTTAAATTTTCCCTAGGTATTAGATTCTGAAGAAGTCTCTAGTCTATTCATCTACTTATTTCTTATCGGGAAAATCTGAAAGTACGTTTTTCTCTCTCTTTTTACCTCCCTCCAGCCTCTATACATTTGTAAGAGAGTAGTTGTTTTCGGTCCAAAAATTCAATAGAGAGTTTACTGTGAATAAGCAAGGAGTAGAATTCCCACAATATGCTTCTACTATTTTAACAATGACGTCTGTCTGTGTATATGGGTGTGACGATTGTTTCGTCCACGTTAACTCAACTTCAAACTTCCAAAAGTTTCTATTTTCCATCCTTAAACTTTTTGCTTTCAGATAAAGAGCTGAATACATTTTGGATAAAAGTGGACAAGTGGACGACGTACTTTCCATGAAGCCGATAAGAATTTTTAATGGGCAGCCGGAAGTAGTATTGAACTTGAAGCTCGTAAGAGTTGTTTTAAAAGAAAATATATATTAGATAAAATTAAAAATAATTTTGAAAGAGACTATTTTTAGAATTTCTGATTTCTGATACACAGTCTTCGCGCTAGAGATAATTTTTTTTTTTTTCCCGTACAGTCTTGACATTGCTGGCTTCAAAAATTCTTTAATGTTTTACAAAATATGAAATAGATAATAAAACAAATTCCAAATTCGGACTTCCAGATGACCATATGAGGGTGGAGACGTACGTTATTCAAAATTCGATGGCTCTAGGTACCGTTGTTTTATTACAATGCGAGAAACATGGATGCAGATTCTTCATTATTTAATACCTTTAATATAATGCAGGCTTCAATATTTAGTGGCAACAATTTGAAAAGTGAACCGACATTTACAGTGAACCGACGCAAAATGCCAAAACGAAATTAATAGCCCTTCTGGGCAAACTGCCCCTTTGGGCTAGAAATGATCCAAGTTTTAATATTTAAAACTTTGTTAATAATAGGAACAAGATTTTAGCTGAAATCTATAAATCGGAAATGATACTTTTATTTGGACCTCTGGACAGATTTCGTGTAAAAAATATTAATTAAATATGAGAAACCGGAAGTTCTGCATTACTTGGAATTCTGAACAGATTGCCGTTGAAAAATACAAAATCACTATAATAAAAAATTAGTTTAAAAGAATAGAACACATATTAGGGTTATTTCTGTTATATCTAAATGAGATATTTATTCATATTAAGTTATAGAAAAGAATGATTTTTATAATCCCTTTTCGCCAAAAAAAAATGCACTCGTTATTTTACATTACATCCATAGGGGCGTTCCTTCATTTACACATACATGCACGTTTCGAGAGCATTTGGGCCAATGTTCCTTTGAGCTAAAAATATTTAAAAACAGCATATCTTTAGAATTTCCCATACACGTTCACGAGCTAGAAATAATTTTTTTTTCCGTACAGTTTTTCCCTGCTCGCTTTGAAATCAATGAGTTTGTTAGTCAAAAATTCGGTAAAGCTTTACAAAATATGAAATTGACAATTAAATAAATTCGAAACCCCAAATTCGGGCTTCCAAATGCCCGTATTCGGATGGATAACCTCGTAATTGAACTGATGAAGGTACCGGTGCTTTTCACAGTACAAGAAACATACATACATTCATGCAGATTCGCCAATATTTAATTTCTTTAAATATAATACAAGGCGATAATATTTGGTGGCAACAATTTGAAAAGTGAAACTGACATCTCTAGTAAACAGACGTCCGTTTCGAGACTTAGTCCAAAAGGGCACCCATTTTGACTAATAACATAAAATAAAACTGTTATATGTTCCAAAGTTTAGACGTAATATAAATATTTAATTTTCTTTAACTAAAACTATTTAAATTGTATGTTGTTCAGCTGTTATTTTTAATAAAAAGCAAAGGGCAAACATTTGATTATGTTGATTTAAATTAAAAAAAAAATTACCCATGACCTGTTATACCTAATACAATATAATGCAATGTTTCGTATTACAAACCTTTCTATTTATTGAAACAGCAAATTACATTTTGTTTACAACGATCGACCGGAAATGATACTTAACTAAAGCTGGTTCTTATTTTAAAACAAGGAATTGGCGGTAGATTACGTATTAGCCACATCAGATTATCGTTATTTTAAGTTACAAATATTTATTTGTTTAATCTTTAAATGAATTTATAGAAAGGATTAAAATTTGTTTTCTGTCTTATCGTGACGGTTTCTTACATCATATAATATATATTCTGATGCAGATGTGACACGTTAAAGTATCTATTTCGAGTGCCGAATTCAAATTAGATTTATAATTAGCCCAAAGGGCGTTAGCCCAGAAGGACTATGAATTTCGTTTTGGCATTTTTCGTCAAAAACATTAAAAGTATAAATCATTTTTCAAATTTTTGCCACCAAATATTATCGCCCTGTAATACATTTAAAGACATTAAATAATGAAGAATTTGGATCAATGTTTGTATGTTTCTCGCATTGTGATAAAACAACGGTGATTAGAGCTATCCAATTTTGAATAACATACGTCTCCAACCGAATATGGGCATCTGGAAACCCGAATTTGAAATTTGTTTTATTATCTATTTCATGTTTTGTAAAGCATTTATGAGTTTTTGATTAAGAAACTCAACGATTTCAAAGCGAGCAATGGTGTAATGAAAATACCAAACATTATCAGAACTACGCCGAGACTACCCGTCAACGATTGTTCTACACAGGTTCTTAATATACGTATATAAACCTTAATAATAATTAGACACAGTGAGTCTACTATTAGAACATCTGTTTACAATTTCAATATTTATAGAAAAAGAAATAAATCTTATCTACTTGACTTCTGCACATGCTTCTTGACGAATAAACACTTTTATTAATACTCGACATCAGCATTTTCACAGTTTCTTTGAAATAAAGCAGGAACTAGGATACTTCCAATAAACAGAACAAAAATATATATAATTCAATTCAATTCATATCAACATTAAATTCATAGAACACCTCTATCACTAAGCAAACACGGATCAGAACGTGCATGGCAACGCCGAAAACTGATGCCATGCACAAAAAAAGGATACATAAATGTCACGTATTTTAATATATTAAAACATTAATATATTAAAAGTCTCGTGTTCATTCAATGAAGTTATTCATAAAACAGTCTCGTGGATATCTTCCGAAGTTTATTGACGGCATTACGTAACAAATGGCAACACTGTACGAAAAAAAAAAAAAACATTTTTATTTCCAGTGCGCGAGAATGTGTATCGAAAATTCTAAAGATAGGCTCTTTTTAAATTATTTTGCGATATTACCGTTGAATTGAATTTCATGGTTTAAGTGCGAAGAATATGATACTTAATAAATAAAGGTAACACACAAAATATCAAAAAACGCCCCTTTTTTAGTAATATAAAATCTGAGAGCCTTCAAATTTTTTATATATATATATAATTCCCTTTTTCCCTTATCATAATACGAATATTGTTTTGCTTTATAATATTCATTAATGAAATGGATAATTGTTCTTATATAGCTTGTGCTTTCTCTGTTTAACAACAACGCAGCCACAAAACCGCCCGGTGTAATGCTACCAATACCGCTGTTTCCCGTGTTTTCTGCAACTGTAACGGAGTATGGCATGTACCCGGTAAGTTATAATTTTCGTACAAACTGTGGGGTATTTTCTTCCTCCCTTCCTTCACGCCTGTTGTTGTTATTGTTAATGCTCACTTGCCTGACCTATAATCACCCCAAGCCCATGAAATTACTCTTGTCAGTAAGCGCAGGTTTACAACAGCCAGTCGTTTGCAACAGCCTCGAGCACCATTTAGGCCCAAGGCCCAAGGCGTTTTGCTTCCGGAGTACCTTTGCAAATAAATGCAATAACCTCCACAACTTCGCTAAGAAAATAAATTGAATAATTAAGAGTGAGCATAGCTAAAGTGAAAGAACGAAACCGTTAAGGGTTTAAATACCAGAAGTGAATGAGAGGTCCACTCAAGGGACGAAAGATTCCTTCATCTTTCAATTTCGCTTAGGAAAGGGTCAAAGACCTCAAGTGATAAGAAAGATAGAAGAAGAATTGAGGCACCATTTAGGTGAGAATAAGATTTAGCTCATTTCCACCCCCAATTTTGATGGAGAGCACCCTGGCGGGGAACGGGTCCGAGGTCTCCCATTCCTCTTCCCCTACCATCATCTTCTCGAGAGGAATTCGCTACATATTTAGATTGCCCGCGATCACTATACAGGGTGATTCTAAATTGTTTTTAAAAATTAAGAGGGGTGACGGTACTCATCCAGATGAGCAATAATTACCATAAAACATAGGATCGCGTTCCACTCAGAAAGAGGAAGAAAAGAGGAATGTTAGAATTCTAACCTGAACTTACTACAGTGCTGGGAGAGCGAATGAGCGAGACCAAAATTTTCACAATCAGTTTAGTGACAAACTCCCAGAGAGTGCACCAAACAGATAAAACCGAAAAACTTGGCGTTCGAGAGTTAATTCGTTCAGACTTTGATGGCAAACACTCAGATGCACATCTTTGGATGGCAAGGTCTCAACCTCGCAAACGATTGCAACAAGTTAACTATCTAATCAAGGGCTGAATATTATCAACTAACTCCAACTTCCGCTGTATACCGAGATTAACATAAAAAGTTCATGTTGTGTTCCTGCTGTCAGAACTTCGTGTCCCATAGAAGGGACCGCTGTCAGAACTTCGCGTCTTCAAGTAGAATGAGCGCAGCACAATAAGTTCAGGGGGACAGGATAGAAGATGGCAAGGGGAAAAAACTGCTACCTTGGGGATGTTTGGATATCAAGGTAGTAGTCTCCCTAATAATTTAGATAATTAAGTTGTTGCAATCGTTTGATATGTTGACACCTTGCCAACCAAAGATGTGCATTTGAGTGTTCGCCATCAAAATCTGAGCTTGAATTAACATTGGAACGTCAAGTTTTCGGTTTTATGCGTTTTGTGCACTCACTGTGAGTTTGTCACTAAACTGATTGTGCAAATTTTGGTCTCATTTATTCGCTCTCCCAGCACCGTTGTAAGTTCAGGTTGGAATTCTAATATTCTTCTTATCTGCCTCTCACAGTGGAAAGCGACCCTACGTTCTATGGTAATTATTGCTCATCCGGACGAGTACTGTCAACGTTCTTAATTTGTAAAAACAATTACCTGTATATTTCCCTACCATCATCTTCTCCCTATAACTTTATTACTTCAAATACCATCCCTATAACCTGTATATTTATAAACATCCATGCCTTCTCTGGAATTTGAACCCGGGCCCATCGGCACGGAGTCAGTGACGCTAATCACTATACTGGTTGGGCGGCTTCTGCATGCCTTCGTGGTGTAAATGGAATCCCCCCCTCGACGCGTATTCTGGAGGCCCGCGTTCGAATCCCCTAGTGAAGGCATGCACATTTTTTCACTTTCCTGCATTCAATATAACCAAATTATTCAATATAAATTCAATATAATATATGACTACAAAATTTCTAATAATTTTCACACATCACAGGATGTGGATGAAGGCAAAAATTCGTCTTTGTTGGATAATGGGCTATTATTAGAATAGTAATAGAATGCAAGATAACACATTACAACACTAAATTTATCAAATCGTTGTAAAATTTGAAGTAATAAAGTTATTTTCTAAGAGTTTTTTCTATTATTTTTCTTAATTAAAAAGCACTGTTGCGTTATTTTCAACTTGGTATTAGTTTGAAAGTTCATTTTCAGTGCCTGTTACTGCAAAGAGCTTCTAAGTACGATCTGAAAAGTACCGAACGATCTGAAATTCGATATCGGAAAATGTAAGTTGTATTTTTCGAAACATAACCACGATTTGAAAGTAATTTTTTCTTAATAATTTTTATGCTTTTATCGATTGCGCAGATCATGCTGCATCATGTTTGAACACTAAAAAACATGACGTATGATACACGAACATTATTCATACACTATTTCGCAGACTAATGCACCAGTAATATTTTTTATGTTACATGGTAGCTTGCTGTGATGGTGAACTTACCGCATCTTAGATGCGTTATGGTTTAGAAGGCTCCAGCTTTGAGCAGTTCTGGCCTCTTTGGAATAAACCTGTAAGGTATATTTAAATTTTATGACAGTTATTATAATTTAATGCATCTTTCTTATCTTATCTAGTTTCAAGTTATAACTCCCTACTAGAATGAGTTTTTTAGAATAACGTTAAATGCAAGTGAGAAGGAGAATAGTATTTAAATCAAATTCCAAGTGATGGGGGCAATTACAAGTACAAGTGATGGGGAACGTGGACACTTTGCCTCTACCATACAGGTTAATCAGTACAGCACCGCGTCCACCATTAACTAGAACAGCCCCAGATGTCAAGAAGAGGGCACACTGGCACCTCGCCGATTTAGTATGCATTGAATATATTTATAAATACAGGGTCTTATACGTCATTCAAGATACATATTACAAGATTTCCTACGGTGACCTTGTTGACAATTATAATTACCCGCACAAATTATAGTTACACATATTGTTACATTGAATAATACTTTGACAATATATGACTTGCTTAAAATATACCTTGAAGTACGTTTAAAATATGCATAGAAATATGAACACTGATACGCGTGATATAACACTGATTATATACATTACATATATATGCTGTAGCTACTTAATATAATACAGGGTAAATACATAACATTATGCGGTTCAGGATACATTAGCACATAGTAGAGAATACAGGACTCGTCACAAAATATTATGATCATAGTGATTTGTCTTGGATATATAAAATCACCTATAACTTGTATTACACTAACATTACACATGCATAAATAAGTAAAAGAATACTGATACAGGGATAAATAAATATGCATACATTAAATGCAAGTTGGAGACGCATTATGCATTAAGTATATAGTACATCAGACGTTACGCTAATTGGGGGTAATTAAATTAATTCATAAACATGATTGAGTAAGCACGCATACTTAGAAACATATAATGAAGGTTATAATGTTTTGACTTGGATAAATAAGGTCACCTATATTAGATATACATACAGGGGTATACATTTGCATGAATAAGTGCGTACGCATACGTTCGATACACATTGAATATGCATTGCGCATTGAGTGTATTGTATACAGCCTAGGTTAGTAAGTTATTACACACGTTGTGCATTGATACACATTACACATATAATTATTATAAAGAGTTGACTTGGATATGCATAGTTATCTATTAGATACACATTACACATACTGGGGTAGATAAATAAATACATATATATAGATATAAGGTACACATACATTGGGTAGCATTGAATAATAATTGAAGATTTCACTTGAATAAATGAGGTCACCTACATTGGAAACGCATTACACATGCAGGGGTAGATAGATTAAAAACATATACATGGATGAGTAATTACACATATGTTATTAAATACACTTACGCTTATCAGGTTCAGTGTTTCTCCTTACTTGCTTGGGGGAACATTCAATGACCTGACTCGGAACAGGGAGCTTACTAAAGCTATGGTCAATAAATGTGGGAAGTAGACAAGATACACAGGAAGGGTATACGAAACCCTTTATTTTTCTCTCTTTACAATGATTTCTGGACCTCGGAATACAGAGACCAACCACTTGTGGTCTGAACGTAAGAATATAAAAATATTAACTAAATTCTAACTAAACTAATTTTGGATTAATAAACAAGGGTCTACTTGAAGATTGGCCGTATATTAACAGAAAGGCCGTATGTAGTACAGAGAGAAATGTTAACACTACGATACGTTTAAAATTATCAAGAGGATTAAACCTCTGGCCTTGAAGGCAACCAGCAACCGAGTAAAACTGCTACGGCAAGCGGCCTGCTTCTACTAACTCCTTCCTCTCTCTCTTGCTTGGCAAAAAGCCACAACTTAAGTACTTGGCGTTCGCAAGACAAATTTGCATAAATGAGTTAAAGCTTTTAATTCTGGCCGGAAGTAGAAAATAAGAAGTGATAGTAAAGATTTAAAATAAAATAAACGTTAGTAAAACTTAAGATCCTTACATACTTCCCGCCAGAGTTAATTAGTTTGAAACTGAGGTCTAAAACGACCTAGTTGAAAACTGTTAGCTCTAGAATCTAACGCGAGGCCAATCTTTTACAAACAGTTCTCACTAGAAACTAGAAATTTAAAAAAAAATCGTTTTTTACATTATAAACTCCATGGACAATTACTTTTCATCTGTACTGCATCTAAACAGGAGTTTCTAGTTGAAATCTAGTTCCTTCCAGAGATCTGGAAGGAAAACTAGTTTAATGAAATGTTACACAATGAAATGGCAAGTAACATGAATATTTATATTTCTCTTAACATTCTTATTTCATTCATGACTTTATTTAATTCTCTCCCCGTGCTCTCTGACATGTGTTGTAAAAGAAAACAACCAAACACGAATGTGTTTTATGTACCAAGTGTTCAACACTACCGCCTGCAATCAAAACACTAACGTGTTAAAATTCAACATAACAAGACCTCATAACCCACCTTACATTAATCTCTAAACCCTGAGGTACTATTCTGAAAGTGGCTAACTCTGAAGTGTAGCGTCAGAGAGCCTAACTACATTCATTCAACCTTTAACACATATTCACAATAATTTTCTCTTTTTACAGTCACACGAATAATTTTTTTTTTTTCATTACTTTCACTTTTAACATATCACAGTATTTCTTAACGCTTAAAATAACAGTTCACATTGTATATAAGAACATATTAACATGCTGTTAATTTTACGCATTTTAAAACATACATTAAGTAGTACATTGTTAACTTCTATTCTTTTCCAAGCAAGTGCCAATTCTTCTACATTGAAATACTACATTTCAAAGTCTTTCAGACTAAAACTTCTTTCTTGCCAAAATCTTTTAAATAAAATTTTATACAATAACTTTTACAATTTTTCTTAGGTACCTTTCTCAAAGATTATCAATGCTTTTACAATATTCAAGTATTTACACATTCCTACTATACATTAATTTTAGTTTCACTCGCGAGTAATTGAAAAACATAATACCAAAATGCAAGAAAAAATGCGTATAATTTAATATTCCAATACAAGGAAGTCATGTGGTGTACGCATCAGATTTTTTTCTTTTTATGATTATACTAAGTACTGTTTAGCCTCATTATTAAGTATATTGTATTTTGATTTATGTTGCGCCCACCATAAATCGAAAGGTGGGAGGAGATGTCGCGAGCAATTCAACGATTGTATAAATGTAATTTCTTTAAAGGTTAAATTTTACGGTTTGGCAACATTGTATGCCTTTTATGTTTCAGAATAAGAAAAAGCAAAATGCGCCATGATTTTGCATTAAGGTGGATTGCCTGTTTTATAGTAAATTAATTGGGTGGATTGCCCGTATTACGTAATTATAAATCGCTCGTTACGTTTCTTTTAATGGAGTACCGACTGAATGAACAAAATTCTGATAGAGTCTCGTAACAATTGTTAATATCGGATGCTTATTTTTCTCTTATTTTCAAATTATTTTCGGTTAAAAAGGCTTTCTAAAAGCGGTAAAAAGCTTAAAATATTATTATCCAATTCTTTGATTGTTAGCTCGAGTTTTCTATTGCTGCATTTACTTTATCTCTAATGGTAAACAAATTAACACTTTGTGTTTATAATCCTAAATTTATTAATAAAGCGATTTAAAACATTAAGCGTTTCATGTTCACTGCCCATCTCTTGGCTAAAGTCGTAAATATTCTTAAATTTAATGCTCGATGTTTAATAAAACAGTCCTTTATCTTGGGGTGATCCTCAGTAAAACTCTATCATGGTACCCACACATAACATCTATCCTTAATAAGTTTCGAGTTAGTAAAGTTACACTTCACCGGTTAATTTCTCGAAACAGTGTATTTTCAATAGTACAAGTTGCTTATTTATAAAACCGTATTGCGTCCCATACTATGCTATGCCTGCCCGGTCTGGGCATATTCATGCAAATCTTATACAAAAAATTGCAACAGGCTCAAAATTATGTCCTAAGACAGATTACCAATTCGCCCTGATACGTTCGAAATCAAAAAGTTACATGAAGAACTAGGTAGAACAACTTAAGTGTTTTTACTGCCGGCTCGCCCGGAACTTTTATGCCAATGTTGTTAATATCAACAACCCAGTTATATAAGGATTTACGATTACGACTTTAATGACCCAAATAATAATAAACGGCCTATGTCCATACTTAGTACCCATATTGTATAACTTATTTAATCTAATATGTACCTCTTAATATTGTGTTATAGATTTAAGGTTTAATTATTACTAGTGCACCAAGAAACTCACACTACTTTGGCTATTATTTATACGAATGTTTTTTCTGCATCAGGCTATAGCCAGCTCATTCCTCCTTTCTCGGCCTTCCCAGATAGCAGTCCAGGTCTATTGAAACTTGACGCAAACTTTAGCCTTTTTAGAAATTTATCTTTTAATTTATCTCTTATCTCTATTCTTATAATTTAAAAAAAAATATTAAAAACATGATTTAATTATATATATATAAATTCTAAATATATACTAGTTACTCATGACAGTATTCGAAATAACATATCTGATCCACAAGGGGTAGGGTCCTTGACCCAGGCACCCTGGTGCTACACCGTTTCCCCAGTGCGTTTAATAAAATTAAAATTTTTCACAGCTTGATACGAAACGATTGTTTAGTTATTAGTCCGTACCTTTAAATTCGCATTTATAGTTTTGTACTGACAGAGTAAATTAAGTGTAGAATAGGTAAGATAGAAAAATGAAAGGCTATCTGTAAAAGAAAAAATAAATCCTTTTAAAATTAGCCAGTTAATATCTATATAATATTTTGTAAAGGAAGTTTGCAGAAACTGATCGTAAAGACATCAAAACATTTCAAAATATTGTGGTCTATTCATGCTTGAATCGAATTTGGAATCTCGTTTCGCCATGATTATACTGAAGTTAAAAGAAAAAGAAAGAAAATAAATGATCAAAGTTAAAAATATGAATTTATCTAATACCAATAAATTTCATTTTAATCAATAGCTAAATTTGATTAATACTCTGTTCATTTCTGAATTGATAGAACTGTAGATAAAAACTAATAGAACTGATTTTGAATTGCGTTTCAAAGAAATCCTGTAAATACTTTTCATGAAGCGGCCACTAATTGCCTGTTGGCCATAGAAATAAAATGAATGAGAAAGCAATGATAGTGTTCAAGTATGTGGTAGATCTATAGAATCATATCATTTAAAACCTATAAGGTATGTCTCCAGTCTTTTTAGCATGCCTTCGTGTTGAAATGGTCAGCATACTCGGCACTTATCGAGAGTCCGAGGTTCGAGTCCCTGGTCGGGCGCCACTGTAGAGACATTAGTATTTTTGATGCTGAAAGACGTGAAAAATGAGCAATGCCCTCGCCGGGACTCGAATCTCGAACATCTGGATACGCGCCGAATATGCTGACCATTACAACACGAAGGCATGCTAAGAAGGCGGGAGAAATACCTTATAAAACAAAGCTTGAATATCATTAATCTTAATTTTTCTTTAGGTTGTAGCACTATGCTTTAATCCAGCTTATCTGCAAAGTCCTTCGTTCCCATCTGACGCAAAACAGAGAGCCATGACCATCTTAGAAAACTGTTTAGGAGGTAGAACTGGTACGTTTAAAAATTATCTTCCATTTATTATTTTTTTTAATTGTTTGTTTTTTCTCATCAGGCAAATAAACTTTGATCTTAAGTTACAAATATGGATAAATTATTTTACTTTTTATATGCCTCAATAAGAAAGCATTTGCTGCACAAAATGCAGAATTTTTATATCAAAATAGATCTGTTGATAATTATGGACGTTCACAATGCAAATGTGTTTGTTCTTTGATGTTCAGAGAAGATTACTATCGTATAAAATTACAAGGACAAGCTAAACAAAATGAATAATAGAAAGACGTCGTAAAATTGGAAGAACGATAAGTTGAAATCGAGCAATTTTAGACGCTTTTAAGCAAGATGCAGTTAGATACAAATTGTTTAATTAGTGAACTAAGAAGAACCTATTTCACTAGCACAATGTTTTTCTCATGCATGAAAACACTTATTATGAATTTTTTCTTTTAAAAATTATTCTTTCCTTTTCCTTGCTTTTAGAAAGAATTTATAAATTCCGAGACAGTCATTACAGTACGATGAATATCTTTTGTGTTGTGTAATATTACGAGCATGAAAGCATTACATTAGATGTTGTAGAACTATTAATGTTATATATTAGAACTAAAATGAAACGAAAATAATTCCGCTAGCACCATGTTCTTCTGATGCATGAAAACACTCATTATGAATTCTTCCTTTTAGAAAGTATTTATCAATTCCGAGGCAATCATTGCAGTACGATGACTATCTTTTGTATCACATTGCGAGCATGAAAGCATTACATTAGATGTCGTAGAACTATTAATGTTATATTTTAGAACTAAATGAAACGAAAATAATTGCACTAGCACAATTTTCTTCTCATGCATGAAAACACACATTATGAATTCCTCCTTTTATAAAGGATTAATCAATTCCGAGACAGTCATTACAGTACGATGAATATTTTTTGTGTTGTATCATATTACGAGCACGAAAGCATTAAACCAGATGTTGCAGAACTCTTAATGTTATATTTTAGAGCTGCCAATACCTTTTTCCAGGATCTGAACTTAGTTCCTGAAAATAAATACACTGAACCACACAGTGTATAACACTGAACACAAGGTATTCTATGAATGCTATCGTACTTGTGTAGAATATGTATTATGTACAACAGCACTGTACGCGTGGCCGTTTTAATACCGATCTGTTTATTGTATCAGATCCGTGTAAGAATTCGTTCTAGCATCAGTATTTATAGAAGTATGATGTTAATACTTGCACAGGTATTTGTTCCCGAACGCTACGACATACGCAACCGTACCGTAATCTTTGAAATAAACAAGAAATATAAAAAAAATTAAGTAAATTCCTACTTAGGTCAACAAAGAAAAATTTTAAAAATACAAAAAAGAATTTAAAAAAAAAATTTGTGTGAAAAAACTGTATTAACATCAAGCGTCATCCACTACGAGTTTAAAAAAATGTATTTGAACTTGAGTAGATGAATAAAAAGTTTTTAATTAACGATTGAGAATTAATTAATTATAATTAATTAATTATTAATTAAAAAAAACATTTTAAAAGTCAATTTCTATTTTAAAAATTTAAGTTCCTACTTTTTTAATTTAAATTCCTATTTTAAAAGTCAGTTCCTACTTAGGTCAACAAAGAAAAATTTTAAAAATAAAATAATAATAATAATAATAATAAAAAAAATGTTTCAGATTTTAAATTACGTCCAAAGGAACTTTTTTTAACATTTTGCGTGTTACATTTATTTATTAAATATTACGTTCTTCGCACTTAAACCATAAAATTCAGTTCAACAGCAATATCGTAATATAGTTTTAAAATGAGCATATCTTTAGAATTTCCGATACAGAGATTCACGCGCTGGAGATAAAAATGTTTTTTCTGTACAACGTTGCCATGGCTCGCTATGAAATCCTCGAGTTTGTTAATCGAAAATTCGTTAAAGTTTTACAAAATAAGAAATCGATAATAAAACAAATTCCAAATTTCAAATTTGGTCTCCGCATGCCCATATTCGTAGGACATTTACGTCATTCAAAATTCGATGGCTCTATGTACCGTTGTTTCATCACAATGCGAGAAACATACGAACATTTATGCAGATTTTCATTATTTAATTTCTTTAAATATAACACAGGGTGATAATACTTTGTGGCAACAGTTTAAAAAACGGGCTGATTGGTTGGCAAAACAAGCTACACATCTTCAAGTAATTACTCCAATGATACTTCAAGTCATTTTACAAGAACAAAAGTAGGGATGATACAATACTCGAGTGGAATGAACTATACAGGAATTCTACTACTGCCTCTTTGACTAAACTATATTTTCCTTCCATTCCTCACAGACTGAATAATAAACACATTTTCTGCAATTTTGAAGTTACTCAATTTCTAACTGGACATGGTAAATTCAATTCATATCTGAAGAGATTAGATTATCTAGTACAGACTTGTGTTCATGCAGTTTCGGGGGAGTGCAAAATGTCGAACATTTGTTGTTCTATTGTTCAAAGCTCAAGGAAGGACGAAAGGAACTCATTTCTAAGTTAAACTCTGTGAATATTACATTTCCTCCCCCTCTTCATATTTTTTTCAACATAAAATGGCTTTCTCTTTTTTCTGTAAATTTATCTCTTACGTATCATCTGTGAATTTGTAAGTTTATTTTATTTTGTGTTGTGTTGCTGTATTTTTTTTTTTTTGTTTTTTTTTTTTGTTTTTTTTTTACTTACCTCTGTAAGCCTTGTGTAATACTATGTGGTGCACAAGGATTTAAAATTTTCAATTAAAAAAAAACAGTTTAAAAAGTGATTCGTCGTTTGTAGTGAATCGATGCAAAATTGCGAAACGAAAACAATAGTCCTTCAGGGACAAAGCCCCTTTGGACTAAAAATAATTATTAAAAATTTTTAAAAATTTTAATATCTGAAAAAATCTGTGTTAACATCAAGTGTCATCCATTACAAGCTTAAAAAATGTATTTGAACTTGAGTGGATGAATAAGAAGTATTTTATTAAACGAGTGAAAATTTGAACAAGATATAGAGAGAGTCTGAGCTAATAGTAGTAATTTAAAAAACACTATATTAATATAAAATAATTAATAATATATTAAAGTAACTGTATCCTGCAAATATTACGTTAAATTAGAGAAAAACCTATAGTAACAACCTAGTTAAGTGCACACATTTACTCTCCCATAAACTTTCTTATGATTTTAAGTCAATAATAGTTAAAATAGCAATATACACCGCCAGCAGGAAACTGGTATCTTCCACCGAGTTGGCAACGTCCTCGAATAACTAACATCTTTCCCGGGAGCGTAATGGCAGACCGCACATTGAGTTGAACAGTGTTAAACGAATGTCGCATACTGCGCATGCCCAGAAACAATTTGGCGTAATTACTATGTTGGCGCGATTTGAAAAGAGGATAAATACGGTATATGGTAGATGTACCTCCATCTGATTGTAAACAAATCTGGCGTTTAAATCTTCGTAGAGTATAATGTAAATGTAAATTAATTACTGTGTTAAAATACTATTTTTTGCTGTGTACTGCTCAAACAACTAGAAAGCTGAAATTATTGCGAAGTAATGTGAAGCAGTGTTTGCATTCAAAAATGTAAAATATAATACTAATGAAATTCTGCACATTCCTTTGGAACTGTACAAATTTTCGTTCAGAAAAAGACTGAAATTTAGGATATATTAGTTGAAAATTTATTCATTATACTTTTAAGCAATAAAAAACAATTCAGGATTTACCATACGTTCCATTCGTACATACATAAAGAAACACTGAGGAATATAACAAGTGCTTGCAAATAACACTGAAGAAATTTTACCAATTCCTTAATGCTAGTTATTAAATTCTTTGAAATGAGAAAATAAAAGCGCGAATATACGCTAACAAACTAAGCGAGAAATACTGCAATTTACAATTACTGAATTATAACATGTAAAATAAATTACATTTAAATAACGAATTATGGCACAACATATGTTAACAAATATTAAATGCACTGTTATTGACAAATTAACAATGAAATATATATTAGAAAAATAGGCAAGTGCAATCGGTATGGACGTTAAAATAAACTAATAAACAAAGTTCCACATCACTGCAGTTGTAAACATCACTCGACCTCACTCGGACAGCCATGGAGATCACGAATAAGCTAGCGTAGGGTTGCTTTTAGTCGCCAATATTTCTTCCCGCGCCAAAGGTACACCATCAAGCATGCGCAGTAAGCGAAATTTGCTTAACATTGTTCAACTCAATGTGCGGTCTGCCATTACGCTTCCCGGGAGGCCCGCTTGTCAATGGTGTCCAGTCAAGACCATCTTGAAGAGATGACCTTGACCTCAAGACGGCCTTGGTCCAGTCCAGTAACTTGTCGCGCATTGTATAGCTTCATTCTTAATGACACTATTCTCCCAAAACTTGAAAGGAGAAGGTCATCCTCTATTAATTCACGATTTTCACAAAGCGTTTACACCATTCAGACACTAAACGTGTTAAAATCTGTTTCCTAAACGCGCGTGACAACAAACGATGACAGATTTGAAACCTTGTAAGGTTTATCCTAAGTTGTTAACAGCTATTTTTTTAGTTAAAGCTACTTTCCGGTCGCTTCTAATTTCAGCTTACAAATTTCGTGCCAGAGTGTGCTTTTAGAATCGCGGTTAAATGCAAATGAAGGAAGAGCAGTACTTAAAGTCGAAGTTCCACTGACTTCGTAAGTGAGCCAGAGATTCTGATTAGCGCGCGTTCGCCCTTTGGCCAAAGAATATGATGTTAGAGAAGCTCGCAGCAGCAGGAGTGGTCCCTCCGAACGAAAAGGGCACAACTGCGCATGCGGAATATCTGTCGCCAAAAAGCGCCGCTCGAAGCTGATGACAAGTTCGAACAGGTTCGACGGTCACGTTATCAGAGTTAAAGTGTGTGATTCCATCCCCCCTACATATTGACAAATATAAATCAGACATCAAACTACAATATGATAATACAATTCAACTAGTAAGCACGAAAATTCGAGTTTAAATTATCGGTAAAAGTCAAAGAACGATTCATCTTAACCCTGTTCCTCAATCCTGTACAGTGCGGAAAAATCTCGGCCAGGTACATCACAAAGGGGAAATTTCCAACAGGTTCGTCGCCCAAATCCCTTGGGATTGTCCCTTTTCTTTCTAGCGGCGTAGAAGACAACTGTTTTACATTACGTCTCTGGAGCCTTTCCTTCTTTACATAGACTTTCTTTGCTTTGGCTACACTCTCTGTAAGCTATTATTATGCTCGGCTGTATTTCAGGCCCTTGATAGCTTCGCTGTTTAGTTAACATTTAAGGGGCCATCTCCTGTAATTTTGATAGCTTCGACCTTTTTAGTTAAACATTAGTAAGTTTTATTTCTTAGTACTCTTGAGTTCAAGCCCAAGTGGAGGCTTTTATGTACGTCCTGAGAAAGGGCCATCTGTAAAACTTTATTTTGAGCAATTAAGGGTAATTAAATTTTCTCAAGTTCACGTGTTTGTCTCTTGAACTAAAGCGATTATTCGCTTACCAATTCTCAAAGTTCCACACATTTAGCTGTAAATTATAGGTTGGAAACTTATTAACTTTCTTTTGCTACACGTTATTATTATTTGATCTTATGCTCTTTTGAAATAACACAGCTCGGTGCAGTTTACAAATGTCCTGTTGCGTAAACAAGTTTAATTTTGATGCACGGACTTAGATTAAAGCAGAACAAATGCGAAAGATGAACCATGATATCGTTAGGAATTTTTTATTTAGATAGCTAATTTTAGTAGAGTTATTAAAATTGTTATATTTTCCTGTGCAATACAGCGCGAGACAAATTTTAAGAGAAAGCTGTTCCGGAAAAGTAAGAATACAGGAGCACGTGCATAAACTTTGAGTAAATGGGTATCTCGGTAATTTGGATTGAAATTGAATAAATATAATTGACCACTATGTTAGCTGTAACAGTAATTCCATTCCCTCATTTAAACTAAACTCTGTGGCGCAACAGCCCTAGTGGGTCACGGCCTGCAGTGCCCCCTTTCCTGACCGTGGGCCCCTCAGTGCATCAGCATATGCTCTGGGCAAGGGGTCATCTTGTTGCAGGACCCCGAGTGTTTAGTTCCCAATCAAACTTGGTACTCATTTTATCGATTCATTCAAAGGACGAAAGACTGAGTCAACCTTGACCAGCCCGGGGATCGAAACCCGGACCTGTGCTGCAGTTGCACGGCACAATAGTCACTTCACCACCGGGCGGTCCATCTTCTTATTGCTTTCCAGTAATTTCGAGAAGCAGAAAGTACTAGAAATATCTTGCAACCGGTTGAAAGCACTTAAAAAGCCGGAGAGACAGAGTCTTAGTTCAGTTGCTTAGTTACTGTTGTTGCGAGTTGTTTAGTTCTGCGTGGACTGAGATATCAGAGTTAGCTTTCTCTTTAGATGCGCTTTGCTTGCTTTGTATTTCCAGTTTTAGTTTGAAGTATAACTATTAATTATAATGCGCGATATTGTGAATACTTGCACGAATATCTCTGAGGAAAATTCCAGAGTTCTGATATATTTCTTTTAATAGGAATAATTTTTTTTAAACCTATTACCGAACTTGTGCATTCAATGTATTACGAACCCATACCCACACAACAATATGATTGGCAGAATAATATGCTATAGATGACAATACATTTTATAGAGTTTGGACACAAAATAATTATCGCATACGACTCAGAGACATTGCTAAGAAACTCGACATTTCAGTAATCAGGGTGCGTTGCCCATAAGTAACTGGTCCACCAGAAGATGTGCTCATGTTAAGTGCCTAAGTAGTTCATAAATTATCGCAAGCCAAAAGGATGAAATTGTTTCTCATGCATTTTATGCAGTTTAATGAGGAAGGTGTTCTATTCCAGCACTGTATTATTTCAGGAAATGAAACTAAGGTTTACCACGTGATATCTGAGGCGAAGAAAACATCTATGTTGTCGAAACAACCATCACCATTTTCTTTCAAGAAATTCAAAATATCTTCTTCCGTGAAGAATGTTTTAGGACGGTCTTTTGGGAACTTGACGAAGGTTGCGTTGTCGATTTTATCGCCAACATGATAAAAATGAATGTTTCCACTTTTTATGACGCACTGGCAGTTCATAGGAACTTACCAGGACATCTCTCAACTTCGTCGTATTGCTGCACGATAACGTTCAACTAGACGTAACCCATGTCATTAGTGATTTATTTTAAGGGATCGTTAGGATATATTGCATTTTCTTTCCTAGAGCCCGAACTTACCATCCAGTGATTTTTATTTCTACAGGCCTTTTAAGAAGTACTTACAGGTTAGGGAATTTACAATGGATGCGGCCTTTCAGCGAGCCGTCATCAGGTGGCTACAGGTTCTTGACGTTAATTTCTTTTATTTTGGCATCGCATTTGTTAGAAGAAATGCTTACACAACCATGATGGTTATGCTGAACAGTGCACTGAATATCTGCGGTCGGAATGAGATTTGCCTCTAAGGAAGGCTTAAACTAATTTTGTATGTCCTTTTATTTCGTCTACTTTAAGAAAACCTATTTTTAAAACTACATATTTAGTTAATTTGTACTATTAAACCTTTTACAGATGCTGATTGAAAGCGTTTAAAAAATAGAATTATATAAATTTTGTTTATTACGATCTAGGTCCATATACTGATTGTCCTGGAATGCCGATTGTTCGTCAACAAGTGGCTAAATTCATTCAAAACCGAGATGGTGTACCAGCGTCGTTTGAAGACATAATTCTGTCTAATGGAGCTACAGATGCTTTAAGGGTCTGTCCATTTTTTTCTCAATACGGTGTGTGCGTAACCATTGTTTTCTTCATGAAGGATAGTGGCACGTGATAATTGCTTCAAGCAAGTCAGATTACATACATAAACGAATTCTTAGCTTGATCGTTCAGAGCGACTGTTTAATTAAACAAGAAGCAGCCCTCAGTCGAAACGGATTTTCCGTGTCGATAGTGAAGGCGCTGTGATGGTTCGTGTCACATCTTCATTTATTAATCTACCGATCACATAAAAATCTAACTAACAGTTCAACAGTCGATTAATCAAAAACGAATAGAAACGACCATCATAAAGCCTTTTATCTATAAGGGTGACTGAACAAAAGGGCAAAATGGGCGGTGTAGAAGCAGCTTTGAGAAATTCGTCATAGAAGGGGACGCAAGAGGGGGAGTTAAAGAGTAGTTTTTCCCCGTCACATTAAAAGAACTAAACAAGAATAGGGCGACCACGTCAGAAACGTTTATTAAAGAAAATCATAGTGGTCGCTCAAAAGACCTTCCGCCAGCTGTAATGCAGGCTTCACACCTACCGAATAGGGACTGACGCACATTTGGGAAGGCACCAGGCATTTCTCGAATATCCCCGACAACAACGGCGATCCTGGCGACTAAATTCATACTGGATTCAATGGGGCACACGCAGATTAAGCTTTTCATGTGCCCCCACAGGAAAAGTCCAAACACGAGAGATCTGGCGATCTTGGTGACCATCTCGCCTTGGAAATTTCGTGGTTCATATAACCAGCGATCCACGTTAGAAAATGCCGTTGGGTGCGTGGGCAGACCCTTTTTATACCATTTATTTGCAATGCCACCTAGCCGCTCGCCGTTTACGTTCCTACCATACATTCTATGACGAATATTGCTTGTATAGCTAGCTGCCTTCTATCACCCCCTAAATTTGCCTGTCATGTTCAGTTTCACCCTGTATACGAAATGGTCATGCAGGAATAATTCTGTAACGCCCGTATAGTCCCGTCCGTAAATTCATGCTTTCGTGGTGTAACTGGAACATTATTGGCTAGCAAATGGGGGATCCGATATTCGAAACACGCGAAGCAATTGCACATTTCCATTCCAGTTTCTTGTCTTCTAAAAATGCCTTTACAGAGGAGCTCGAACTAAAAGGACAATAGTTTGTGATCCCCAGGAATTGACGACTGGGTCCCCTCCTCCCTAATATCCCTGTGAGGAGAATGCAAGGTGTTTTCTCCCAATTTACCGCGTGAATTCGGGATATAATTGGAAGTACGTCCGGCTAGAAATCAGGAGGTCCTGAGTTCGAATTCTAGAATGGGCACTGAGAAATTTTCTCTCCTTCTGATCCGAAATAAATTGGCTGACGGTCTCTAGAAGACTGCCTATTATTCTACATCACCATTTATGAAGGATTATTTTGTTTGTCGATAATATCTAACTTACAGATATAATTATTTTGTTAGTGGATTTTATAGCTTTTCCTTTCCTTCCAGGCTCTTGTATGGAATACCGATGCTAATAATTACTTTAAAAATGCTTTAAATCCTCTAGAAGGAAGTAATAAATTAGGCTATATAAACATTTCTGTAAGAGAACCTGCAGTCCCGGGAGTTGACTGGGATATATCCCGGCGTTCTTGATAGATCAGTATCTAGACAGGCTCGACTTTTAGGGGAAAATTAAGTCTTCACAGTGACTAGAACCATCGTTTATTCGGATGGTTAGTTCAGGCTTGGCAGGGACCAAGTGTACTGTCTTGTCTACCCCTTGGTTGCGCGGATGCTACTGTCTGTCTAAGAGAAGAACAGCCCCGCCAAAGTGTCTGGCGAGTGGCGGTCGCTATAGCAACAGGGCTAGTATATTTCAAATAGGGACAAACCAAGGGTTGCCAATTCATATGTAAATACGCCAAGATGGCAAACTGAAAAGTAAATCTTCAAGACACCCCTACGGAAAAATAGGTCAAGGCTCGTGTCTACGGCAACAGATAGATGCAGACTAACTGGTGAGAGCTTTTCTTACGATAGACAGACTGTACATGATTTAATATCAAAGGTTGTCCTTGGAGGTTTGGCTTCCCTTAGTCAACACTGGGGAACGGTCCATGTGCTTTTCGTTCTTTTTTTTCGTTTCAAGCGTTCTTTGAGTTTTAGGTGGATGCTTGCCATCCACCATTGACTTTGTACACAATTACCATGGTAATAAGTCTGCAGACTTTGTGAAACAAAAATTGTCCCCCCCCTGGTTTGAACGTGAGGTTATGCCTCCTTCGATCGCCTCTAGGGATTGGGGATTAACCGCGTCAAAAGTAAAGGATTCAAACCTAAATTAGAAATGTTTTCATCACCTGGCAAAATTTTGTAACGTGATTTACACACATACATAAAGCTCAGATTCAGCAGGAAAAAAAATTATCACACAGTTCAGTGGAAGCAAGATATTAAATAATTCAATTCACGAAATTCATCACCAGGTTTATATCACGAAAAATAAAAGCGTACGTTATCCTTGATAAATTTGTACAGTTGATGTCTTATGCATTTTGCAATGGAATTCGATTAACAGATTTCGTTATTTAGTCGGCTGTGATTTTATTATTTGTTACATAAAACTGTGGAGGAATTTGTAATATAAATAACTCCATCTCTTGCTTTTATTAAATTATATGATAAATTATTTTTATATTTTAGTTCATTCATTATTTTACGAGTTTTATATAAAAGCTTACTTTATAAAAATTGAATTTTTTCATCCTTTTTATATTGTCAGTGACAAGTTGCGAATCAAATTATTCAATTAAAAATTATTTTTCAACAATAAACGATCACTCTTTTCTTTCTAGCACTTGTTTCAATCAAATCGTCTAGGGGTTTTGTCAAAAACTCAGAAACTATTTAAAAGTTTCACGTAAACGTTTTAGAAATCTTCTCCCCGCTGTGTCCGAATAGGGCAAACAAAAGAATTCTGAGATTTTTACTTCCTTGTACGAAGTAAAAAGGAAGTATTGTAATGGCGAAAAGTTTCAGGCAGCATATTTCAACGAAAATATCCATTTTGACCGCTATCGAATGCAATTTAACGATGTTTTTGCATGATATCTGTACATGAGGACAGAATAAAAGACTCTTTTCCTCCAAAACAATTATAAAACTGCTTTAAAATGAATTCTGAAGAGAACTTTTCGTGGCGTCTGTACGGACGTATGTACGTACGTGCGTACGTTCGTATTTCGCATAACTCAAAAACGAGTAGCCTCAGAACGTTGAAATTTTGTATATAGGACTGCTATAACATGTAGATGTGCACCTCGTATTTTGGTTGCAATCGGCCGCACCAAACGTATATAAATATATTTCTATATATATCCACTCTGTTACCCGGCTCAGTGATCTTAGTTTCTTTACTCGTATATGCTTGTAAATTCTACATTTTTTGCTTTAAAAATGATTGAATTATGTTGTTTTTATCTTCCGGTTAAGGTTTTTATGCCTTTAGTAAAACGCTTTCATTTATTATTGCCAATTAAATCATGCTTAGTCCTTTCTGGAATTTTTTCGAGGAAATAAGTGTTTAAGATTTACTTCGTAATTTTTAATATAGATATTTTAAGTTTTTATGTATTATTTTTGCCTTGTCGCGAAGTGAGAACTGAATGAGCAATACTCAATCGTCTGAAAAAAAACTGTTTCTTTTTTGTTTTGTTGCTTACTTTCTTTTATACATCGTTCTAGCTTTATTATAGTATTGAATAGAAACATGTGGCAACGATTAGATAATTCTATTCTTTAAATGATATAAATTTTGTGCATTATGAGTTATAATTTGAACGAAATATAATACTGTCAAGTGAATCTAGCGCCAGAGTGTAGCTATGGTAATCAAATACTAGAGTGAATTTTAAAGAATGCATTTATTCTATTGTGGGGTATGCGCTGTCGGCGAAGTAGATTTAATTCAATCCAATAAGTGTAAATGAAATGAAAGAAAAAATGCGTATAATTTAATATTTCATACAAGGAAGGTCATGTGGTGTACACATCAGATTTTATAGTTTGTTAAAGATACGTGCGAAATTGCTACACTGTATTGTCATCCATATTGTTAAACACTTGTGTGTACTACATTTTTTTATAAAATGATGAGCAGTTTTGGAAATTTTATTATTCTCAGATTCAATAGATTGAATGTTTTGGTACTGTAACGTCTTTATTTTATTTTATCGACCACCACGAAGTTCTGAGAAAAAGAATAACCACTTCAAAAGTTGCGACGGAAAGAGTATTTTTTAACGAATTCTCGAAAAGATGAAGTGACCAGCAGTCACAAAGCAATCTCAAGTTTTTGTTCCTCTTATACAGGGTGCGACAGCGTTCATAGCGTAATTTGACTTGCGTAGTACAATGACGTACTGCATAAATGTGCGCCAGCTGGTGCCGCATTCGTGTACTGATGAGCTGCCATTTCGAGTGTGACAGTGATACGAATCGGTGGAGTGCACAGCATCGTGCCTTTGCTGTTGAAAGTTATTTCAAGAATAACTACTCTGTTATTGCTACCAGCGTCTATTTCGGAACATTTTAACTTGGGACGTCATAGGAAAGTTCCAGATGGACGGACCATTGTGACAGACATTCCCAGGTAGAGTAATTTCCCGTTTTGTTGACATTTCCTGGCCGCGTCGCTCAACTGATCTTTCATGTGCAGACGTTT